TATAATATAGTAGATCTTGAATTTTGAGTTCTGTTCCTTTTTAATGCAGCTTTCAAACATTGTATTATATGGCAGGGCTCAAAATTTCAAGTCCTCAGCTACTAGCCAGGCCTAAAAAGTTACTCGCCACCAGTTGCCCCACCTAACCCCTACCCTGCCCCGGCCTTAACTCCGCCAGGTCAGCGGTGTGATGCAGAGTATAAAGATCAGTAACAATGCACAGTACAGAAGTCAGTGGTGCAATACAGAATACAGAGGCCAGCTGTGTGACGCGCAGTGCAGAGGCCAGCAATGTGACGCGCAGTGCAGAGGCCAGCAATGTTATATAATAGGAAACCAGCCTTACCGGAAAAGTAGTAAACCTGCAAAGCAGGTGAGTGCTTGTAGCGACCACGGATGGCACCATGAGCAATATAGAAGTAGTAAAAATTGTCACCAGTACACCACAATATTTACAGCAGGGTCCTTTAATGACAAATTGCCATTCAGTACAAGCGCTTTCAGGGTCTATGAAGTACCCCTTTATCAGGCTCATTCTGAGCCTGATGAAGGGGTACTTCTGAGACCCCGAAAGAGCTTATACTGAATGGCAATTTGTCATTAGAGGTCAGCAATGTGACGCGCAGTGCAGAGGTCAGCAATGTGACCCGCAGTGCAGAGGTCAGCAATGTGAAGCGCAGTGCAGAGGTCAGCAATGTGAAGAGAAGTGCAGAGGTCAGCAATGTGAAGCGCAGTGCAGAGGTCAGCAATGTGACGCGCAGTGCAGAGGTCAGCAGTGTGACGCGCAGTGCAGAGGTCAGCAATGTGACGCACAGTGCAGAGGTTAGCAATGTGACGCGCACTGCAGAGGTCAGCAATGTGACGCGCAGTACAGAGGTCAGGATGTGACGCACAGTACAGAGATCAGGGTGTGACGCACAGTACAGAGGTCAGTACACAGTACAGAGGTCAGCGGTCAGTATGTAACGCAGTGCAGAGGTCACAAAGAAAGTACAGGGACTTACAGTTGCTTTGACCTCTTCTTCTCCTGGTGATGGTGGGGGAGCAGCGAGGTTGCCTGCACGTCCAGCCGGCTCCAGGTGCTCTCTCTCTCGCGCAGCAGAAGCCGGCAGTCTTCCTCTCCCACCAATGGCAGCTGAGGTGGGCGGAGGAAACTGCTGTGGCCACCGAGGAGCCCAATCGAATAGGGCACAGACGATGGCAGTGGAGCTTCTTGTTCTCTTCTCCCCGCCACCGCAGTCTTAAAGAGGCCCCCCTCCCAGTCCACATCTTTCGGACGTTATTAATCTGAGTTGCCCCACTCAGTATGCCCCTCTCTTGCGGTCATATTGAGTGGGGCACTAAGATTAATAATGTGCTGGATTAGTCTGACCCAAGGGCGGACTGGGGGCAGGGTGGCAATTGCCCCCCAAGCCTCTCTGATACCTTTGCAAACGCCCCCCACCGCCGCCATAAGCATTTAATCTCTCCCCTCTCGGTCGCTCTGCTGCTGCAGCGGTCAAGAGGGGAGAGATGAAGTCCTTGCCGTGGCGGAGGGCGTTTGCAAAGGTATCAAAGAGGCCTGGGGGGCAATTGCCACCCTGCCCCCAGGCCTAGTCCGCCCCTGGGTCACACTAATCCAGCACGTTATTAATATGAGTGCCCCACTCAATATCGCCGCAAGCGAGGGGAATACTGAGTGGGGCAACTCAGATTAATAACGCCCATAAGATGTGGACTGGGAGGGGGGGCTCTTTAAGACTGTTCATAATCACACCGCTGAACGATCACCTCTTCTCCCGACCGCTCCAGCTTCAACTCCAGGAAGCGGGCACTAAGAGAGGCAGCCACGATCACACCTGTCAGCGTTCCCTCTCTCTGCTCCCGGCCGCTGCAGCTTCAGAGCGGCCAGAAGGAGAGAGAGGGAGTGATAACGGGTGTAATCAGAGCCGCCTCTCTGAGTGGAGGTGAAGCGGCCGGGACGAAAGAGAGTGAGCGCAGAGAGCTAGCTCCGGCTCTGGATGGAACACTACCACCGCGGCAATTGCTCGCACGGTTCTGTTCTCTCTTCTCCTTCTCGGGCTCGGCCGCTCTGTAGCACAGCAGGCGAGAAAGAGAAGAGAAAACAGAAGCGAGTGAGCGATTGCCGCGGCGGTAGTGTTCCATCCCTAGTCCCGCCGGCGAGGCACCATTGCTGACATTCCACTCGGCCCCCCCCGCAATTTTCACTCGCCAATTGCGAGGGGGCGAGTGGAAATTTTGAGGCCTGTTATATGGTATAATACATAATGGTATATATACCGTAAAAGTGAAATATGCAGAGCTACAAATCTATTGCAGTATAATTTCACGGTAAAAACATTATCCAACTAAAACATTTATGAAAAGTTGATTTAAAGAAATATTTCTCCATGTTTCTGATTTTTAAGTATATTAGCAACTTTAACGTTTTACTATAGGCCAGTGTCTGTCAACCAGCAGGCCACATACTGCTGGAGGTCTGCAGACTTAATGCCGCCAGTCCAGAGTTACACGCAGAATGATCAAACTGACTTATAAATATAAATTGCAGACTTTGGTTTGCCATTAAAATTTAAACAGCATATGCAGTAGAAATGAGAAGTAATTGAAATTGAAAAAGGGTATAGCATGTGTGTGATACAGCTGTGACCCTGGGATTGTAAAATGCCAATGCTCTTGTTGGCATAAAATCACCTTGTGCTGATGCTCAGACTCATACACAGGTTGCCTTCCACAGGCTGACTTTCTGTTCTTTAAAGGAGATCTATGAGGTGAGTGATTTTCACTCACCTCATAGTTCTAGCCGACCTGTGACAATGAGACTGTCACAGGTCGGCTCAGTAGATCGGTAAGTGAGCGAACACATCTCGGCGTTCGCTCACCTCTCAATCCTGTCACGGCTCTCTGCCGTGACAGGGGAGGGGCTGGATCCCCCCTCCCCGCTCCGATCGGGAACGGACGGGGCTGGTACAGCTGGCTCTGACTCTAGATAGGCAGAGCCAGCTGTCACTCATGCAGCTGGGTGGATCCAGACATAAGTGTCGATATCCGCTTCATATACCGCTGTAGCTCGCGGTATACTGAGCTTAGGGTGACGGGAGGACGCTAGCTTGAAGGGTTGTACTCATGCATGTGGGGTGCATGCTTTCATGCTGTTCCCGCCAAATTCTCACTCTGCCATCTCCATGATGCAACTGGAAACGTGATTCATCGGACCACATTACTTTTTTTCCAATGCTCGACTGTCCAATCCTTGTGTTCCTGTGCGAATTGGGGACGTTTTATCTTGTTAACTGCAGACAGCAAAGGTGTTCGAACAGGCCTTCGGCTTTCATATCCCATACGATGCAGTGTACGGCGAACAGTGCGTTCAGAGATCATTTGAGAGGATCCCTGATTAAGATCTGCAGTAATTTGATGCACTGTTGCCCTTCTGTTGTCTTGTACCAGTCTTGCCACTCTCCGTTCTGCCCTAACATTGACTAGTCGCTGACGGCAACAATTCACACGTTCAGACCCAGATTTTCGGCTGACACTTTAACAACAGCTGCTCTTGAACATTTAATGAATTCTGCTGTTTTGCTGATACTCGCTCCATGGCTCCGAGCGCCAACAATCATCCCACGCTCAAAGGCTGTTAAATCGCGTTGTTTACCCATATCTTCAGAAAAAAAATCACTTCTACTGTCGTGGTAAACAACCTGCTTCCCTATTAATAATGGTCTGGCCCTCTAGTAACTTCAGCACAAAATTATAGCTACTTTGCCTACAAACGTCAGGTGGTCATAATAATCTGTCCACTCAGTGTACATTGCCCTGCAAAATATTTCTTTAAAATGTTGCTCAAACACTAACAGTCATCATGTTTCTGAAAAGCTCCAACTCTCTCAGTTCTGCTTCCCTTAACTTCCTGTCCAGTACAAGATCACAAGGGACAGGGCAATCTTTAGCAGTTGCCCATATGTTAGCTTGGAGAAGGGAGGAAGGGGGAGCAGAGAAGTGGCTCATCTTGCATTCCTGTGTGAAGTCACACACAGCTTACTAGCACACACAAGGGGTGCTCCATAGGACCCTGTAAGGGAAAGGAGCCACCCTCAAACAGGATATCAGGACCAGTGCTCACGAGACCAGCTGATTCTGCAGGAAGTTAAAACTTTCACAAAATCAAGAAGCGGGATCCATGTAAGTGATTTCATCAGCATTTGAAATCGCTTAAAAACCTTTTGACTTTAATATCACTTTAACTTTCCTGACATCACAATTACAACACCAAAGGGAATAAGAACCATCATTTCCACAAATATTGTTCCAAGGTGTCACTAGCTATAAGAACTGATCCATTTACCATGACCATTGTACACTGAAAGAAGGTACTGCAGAACAAATGATAGAAGCAGCATATTATCATAACTCTTGTTTTCTGCCGCAATTTCCACCTTAAAAAAACTTTGGGAATGTTCTTGTTACAATATCATGGAGCAGATTTGTTCTGATATACTGGTCCTGAAAACATGTATATACATATCGTCAAAGTACAATAACTGCTTATACAAGAATATATTTTCATACAATGCAGTTGAAAGTATGAGAATTCAATCATGATAACTAATCATGATAACTGATAACTATTCATCTGAACCTGTAACTATGTGCATCAGATGTAACTGTGTCCAGTCAAGCAGTCTATATTATAGCACAGCCCTAAACCCCAAGACAGAATAAATAACAAAATGATAACAAACACAATTAACTAATCACTTGACACAGCTGTTAAACCCCTTATCAAAAATAATGTAATTCCATTTCTTTTTATGAGCAGACTTGTATGTGAACAAGCTCCGTTGATTGAATATTGAAAACAAGAGGAAAACACTTGTATACATACTGCTGTGCTTTAGAGGAATTGGCTTTGGCCTTGCAAAGTAATATTCTTGTGAATAAAAATATGGAGAAAAAACATTCCGAAGTAAGCTGGACTGATTCCATTAAACATGGCTTACCTTGTCAGTGTAGATAAAGAAGAGGCTAACCACAATAAGCTCCAGTAAGAAGATGATCAGCAACAAGATAAAGAACTGAAAAAAGAGATAGTATTTATTATCTAGCACAGCAATACATCTCCATGTTACTGTAATAAGTTAATAATTGTTTAACATTGCATACATTGAGTAGCCCTGGTTTGAGTATGCCTTCTATTCATATCCAAGAGCACATGTCATTGTCACTGTAAAATGTCAGTACAAACCCTTGTAGGTTAGTAGCTAGGTGCATTTAAACATTGCGTGCCTGTTCACATGAGTTTCAGGTCCTGATCAGGTCCGGATCTGCAGACGCGCTGCTACTGATGCAGTGCGTTTTGGCCGCGTTTTTTATGCGTTCCAGTAAAAAAATATATATATATATATTTTTTTTGTGCTGGAGTGGGGCTGTTAGTATGTTAGCTTCAGTGCAGTGCGTTTTTGACACGTTTGCGTTTCATGACCACTTCCTGACCGTACAAAATGTGACATGCAGTATTTTTCTGTCGTAAGCTGAACATGTGAGAACTGTAGCCCATAAAACACATAGGGATACATTGGGATGCATTTTGAGTGCAGGAGCGTACGGATCAGGTCAGCACACAAAACGGACGTCGTGTGAACAGGCACTAAAGGCAACCTTGCTTGTTCTAGTTCCAAAGCTTTAAAATAAACTGCCAGCATGTATCAGAGTAGATTACGGTATATGTCATTTTCAGGAAGATTTCCAGAAAGACACATTATTGTGCAGTAACTCATAATGAAAAGCCAGAAATAATGTTTGATGGATCTTCATTTATTACATTCAAATTTGATTGTTGCCTCAAGAGTAAATACAGTTGGTTGCACATCAATGTCTTTTGTACTTCCTTACCGAATACATTTTACCTGAAACAATAAAACTGCATAGACACTGAAACCACATGCTGCATCCAACAGGGTGGTTCTTCAAGCACTAGTTGGAGTATCATCATTCCCTGTATGTAAGAGCTACGAGTGCTTCCAATCATAACAGTGTAGTGCCCTCTGACACCTCTCTTCAGTTGCTCTCTCCCCTGTCTAACCCCCCTTTGATACTTGCTAATTTTTGTGTGTTACTTATAGGGCAGCTCATTCATTATAATGGGCTACTCTGCACACAACAATCACACCAAAGACATCCTTGCATCTTGTTTTTTTTGGCACGTAGTATCATGCACCGCAAAGCACATGGTGCAGCAAGGTGCATTGGATAAGAACAGTGGGAAGGGGGAAAGGGTAAGGAATGCCCAGAAAAGTATGCTTAAAAGATTCCTTATCCTTTAAGTCAAAATTAGTCATAAGAAAATTATGTGTTTTTAAAGGAGAACTATGAGGTGAGTGCTTTTCACTCACCTCATAGTTCTAGCCAACCTGTGACAATGAGACTGTCACAGGTCGGCTCAGTAGATTGGGAGGTGAGCGAAAATATACCGTGACAGGGGAGGGGCTGGATTCCCCCCTCCCCGCTCCGATCCGCCAGCGCTGACTGGCAGAACGGACGGGGAGGGGGCGGTTACAGCTGGCTCTGCCTCTAGATAGGCAGAGCCAGCTGTCACTCACGCAGCTGAGCGGATCTCGACATCGATGTCGGGATCCGCTGCAGCGTCTCAGTATAACACGAGCTGTAGCTCGCAGTATACTGAGCTTAGGGTAACGGGGGGACGCTAGTTTGTGTCCTCCCGTTACCCTAAGGAGAACTATGGGGAAAAGCCCTGACCCCATAGTTCTCCTTTGATGCATCTTTTTCCCATAAAAGCGTCCAACCTATTAGGCTCCATTCACACATAGCGGTTGCATCTTCCCAGCGGAAAACCGCGCTGCACGCAGGGCCGGATTTACTCCCTCTGCCGCCCCGAGGCCGGGCCTTGGTGGCCTTGTGGGAAATCCGGGCCTGGCTGCACGAAAACGCGCACATTTTACCATACGAGCGGATTCCGCATGATTGCAGCTACTACTATAGCCGGAACGAGTGGAATACGCCAAGAATATTGAGCTTGCACAAAAATCTCAAGATGAACACTGCACATGCTCAAACAAAAATCTGTGCTTTCAATCAATGAAAATTGGCCAGTTAGTGGAGCTAACGAGCGTTAATTGCAAACTACATTGGTCTGTGCATGATGGGCTAGTTGTAAGAAAATTGAACAAGGGTGAGATGTCTGGACAAAAAAAGTTGTAGAATGGTTATAAGGTGTATTATGAAACATCATTTTGGAAAGCCAAGTCCCCATAGTCCACACAACACATGACCAGCTGTGCAAATGAAAATGTTAAGTTCCCCTTCACACTATGTTGTTCCATCGCTGTGTGTTACTGCGCACAAGTTTGCGTGTTGCAAAAAGGCAGCCATTTCAACAAGAATGGACTGTCAATATATGACAAAGGGAACAAAAACATGTCTGAACTTTTTTAATGCAGCTCACCACAATGTAAGGCACATGTGCTGTGGTAAGCTGCAGTGTGAGTCTGTTGGCACCTACTGTACTTGTGCGTTGGGTTGCCTATCTAAATTTATGGCACAGCAAGACACTGCACAGAATGCCTTGCGTTATTGTTGCGGTAAAACAGACATTACTGCATAGAATAGGTCTGTCGCTGTTCACGGATCTCCTCCTTGCTGAATGAACCCAGAAGCGATGATGATTTCATCACTTCCAGTGTTTGAGCTGTCATTCCCCAGTCAAAGAGGCTAGGAAAGAAGCTGATCAAGCACAATCTGTGCTCGATCAACTGAACTGAAGTGCAAAGGTGAAAGTAGGGGTCCCTAATAGACCCCTAATGTCTCCTTAAAGAGAACCCGCCACCACTAAAGTGCTATTACTGAGGGAGCTTGTGATCCCCCTCTGCAATGGCAAAAAATGTTTTAAACTCCGCTGCCCCCCCCCCAAAGTACATGCACATACTAACACAAACACATGCAAAAACGGTGATTGAGCCACACATCACTGCACACACTGAAGTGACAGCAATTATTTTAGGGCCATTATTCATGGTCACCAGCATTGAAGCTTGACATGTTTGGTATCTATCTAATCGGTCATCTTTTTTTATTTTACAAAAAAAATTTACATTGGATAATATACTGTGTTTATGTACACTAAAATTAACTTAAGTTCATTTGTTTACTGAAATGTTGGAAAAAATAAACAGTTATAATGTGACATAAAAAATTGCAACTGCAACTATACAACCGACAGTACAATCTACTTTCATGAAATATATAATTCTGGTGGTGGTATATCAGACAAAACTGAGGGATAAACTAAAACTGCATTTTACAATAAGTATAGAATAGGATGAGTGAAATATAAAACATGAGACACTTGAAATGCATGCGGAACAAATGTTTTATCTTTATGTAAAATAGTTGCTTCTATCATTCACAAACTTGTTTTTTTCCCATTCATTCTTCTCTTGATATATATGTGGCATTGTATCATTATTCTGTTTTATCCGCTATTTTTGTCTACATGAGGTTTACCAGACTCTGCCTGCAATGTCCTTCAAAAGGATTGCTAAGAAAGTCAGCTTTATGCAGAAAAATATCTTAACTTTGGATCAGAACAGTGAGGTATATTCATTTCTGTTACACATATCTGTAAATGTTATTCATAGCTTTCCTACAAATGTACTTAACTTAGATGTATATGTCCTTTAAAGAGCATCTGCTTCACTTTAAAGAAAACCACCCGTGTAGACTGCCATTTCCAATACTAGTTGCCTGACTATTATGATAGTTGTCTTCAATACTTTTTGAGTCACTAACTTGAAACAAATAAGCAGAGCTTGGATTTCTGTATAGTTCTACCAGGTCAGCGACCCTTAAAAGGGAACAAGCTAAAGCCTTAGGTACAGGATGTACATGGCCTTACAGAAAACATTTTGCTGACAGAAGGATGGTGTCTGCCTTTGCTGACCTTTTCTAAAAAAAAAATGCTAGTTGCTTGGCTCGTTGCCCATGCTTTTCTTTCTAACTTAGGAGTCACTAACTCAGATACATGGAGGAAAGGACTTCTTACTTGATAAATGTATGAGACAGTTGTGGGTCAGTGACTCAGAAATTAGTAAAGCCACAGGGCCAGCAGAACAGGTCACAGAGTAATTTCAAATGGACATCAGCAATGTGAGCCCCTACATTCCTCTCAGAAAAGGTTTCCTTTAATGAATATGCCAGCAAATATAGCCATCAAACTGCCCAGCTTTGATACTAAATATTGTGTAATTTAATTTACATATGTTGTACACACAAGCACAACCAGCATTAAATCTAATATCTTTTTCCAGTGTTTTCCTGCCTGTTCCTGGAAAGTAAGCAGATGGGAATTTATACATGATTATATTGGGTATGAAGGCAATAAAGACACAGTATCTCTTCTAGTATACATATTCTCCAATGTTCCCCTCCTGAAATTACATTTACACAATTAGAGGGTTTTTATTATAAAGGGGAAATAAGCCATGTGTTTTCTTTTTTCCCTTCATCTATTCAAACCATCAGAGAGGTCTGATGGTTTCAATACTGTACATCAGGAACACGCTTGTGCTGTGACAGCAGAAAGCTTCATGCAATCTCTTATAGGGGTTGCTGACTTTTCCCAAGAGCACTGTCCAGCAGCAACATTAAGCCTCAACTCCTTTGGACAACAGCATTTCCACTTATTGAAACCTGCTCCACTCCACAATGTCAGCTTTCCTTGGTTGAAAAAGAGAAAATGCAAACAAAGCAGCTGCCTCAGAAATCACAAATTAAATGGTGTGTTGAAGAAATTCTGAGACACTGTGATACATGGATTTGTAATCCTTTTATGAAACATTGGGATCCCTAGTTTTTAGTGTAATATATTTTGCCTTCCCTGTGTCCTACTTCCACCCTCATGCTAAATTATTATTATTTTAAACACAATATTTCTATTTTGTATACATACCTTATTTTAGACCCAATGACACCATCGCTGGGTATCTGTGTTTCACTATGCATGTGATGCTGAATACTAGATGCAGGCCCTATCTGATTTGCGGCAGTTCACCGCCATAGC